TATTATTAAGAACTAAATTAAGTTATAAAAGCGCAAATTAACTCCCAATAACAATTAACGCACAATTAAGTAATAATTAAGCATAAAATTGTTCATTTGGACATTAAATGCTAAAAATGCAAAAGATGCCTATTTTTGTAATTTTTAATTTTTGTAAAACTAATTTAATTACTAACAATTATAGAATGAAATCCTACATGCAAAATGCGACATATTTTTATATTTTTTTATTAATTTAACAAATAAGCAAACACAGACAAATACAAATAATTATCCAAAAATATCACAAAAATACTCAAAATTGCACACCAAGGAAAATTATTTTATTTTGCATTTTCTGGGAGTATTTCTCATATAGGGCAAAAATCACGTGCTTACACAATTTAAATATGATTTTCCAACATCATTTATTTTTAAGTTTCAACAGGTTAATAAAGTGACACATTAGTCTTACAATACCATGATAATTAATTATTTGTAAATAGTTAACAGCTAATACTGAGCTATTAAATTAATAAGTATTATATCTCGTAAACATGAAAAAAATTATATTTAGGAAAATAATTATAAAAAAGATTATGGACTATTATATAATAAAAACATAACAAAAGTTAATAAATAAATACTTTTTAAATGAAAGATTTATTTAAAATTTACTATCAAAGCAGTCTTAGTGGATAACGTGCAATAATTTTTTATTTTAATTATGACATAAAATACTCTCAACTTAATGATTTATGATTAAGAAAAAAGTAATTTTGAATAGTTAACGATTTATTAAGAAAAATTGTGGATTTACAAGGTTAGTTTCACACAATTGTATAAAGTTCTATTACGAGCCCAGTACGCTAAGCGTTGGGCGTGTCCGGAGCGTAAGCCCGACGGCCAAGGCGTAAGTCTCACGGAACTAAGCCTTACACATAAGCCCAGGACGTTTTACGAGTGCTTTGCCCCGGGGCGAGTCCTGGGCGAATTCCAATTCTGCCTTTTAAAACAGATAGCATATATATACCCCTATGACCCATGTGGCAAAAATTTAACCCATCTCCCCTTTTTAGTAGCTCCCCTCCCTCCCCTTAGAGACGACGACACCATCAAAAAACCCACTAGAAAATTTCTTCCATGGTAGTAAAGAAATTTCATTCTTCTTATTTATATTTTCTTATTCTCTTTATATATTTGATTCTAATTATATTAATAGAGGACAAAGTTAAACCATTTCGGCCAAGGTAAATTTGGACCTTTTACCTTTCTTGAAAGAGAAAATTGCTTTATCCAATTATATCTGTACAAACAAGGAAAAACCCAAAAATTGACACAAGCGGAAATGGGCTTAAACACATCGCAGCAAATGAAAGAAGAAAAACAGAGAACTGGGGCGTGTAGCATAGGAGGGAGGAGCTGCTTTACTCCTGGAGGGTCGAGACAATGATAAGACGAGTGCAAGGAGGAATTTTGTCGGAAGGGTTTACAGATTAGGATGCAAGTTGCGCCTGTCTTCCACCAAAAATGTCTTCAAATTGCCTTGGAAATTATTTGGCGTTCGCCGTCCCCAACTCAAATTCTCACCCTTTTCCTTGCCATTGCAATACCTATTTCTTCTATTCTAAATTTATTATACGCCCAGAGCAAGTCTGTCATCTCCACTGCCGCAAGTTGAGTTTTGCGCCAGCACTTGTACCGCTGGCAGCTGCTAGGTCTTCCTCTTCTAACGGTAACGGAACCGAAGACGGGGAAGAATGTGAAGGACGAGGAGTCGCTGAAGCTAGGGAGGCAGTCAGCTATTATCTTGAAGAACTTGGCGTTTCTAAGGAGGAATCCGTGGAAATAGCCCTTAACTCACCTAAGTACGTTAGCATGTTGGTAGATAGCGTGCGTGACCTGGATGAGTTTTCCTTATGGAATTCCTGGAGCACTGCTGACGCTGATGAAGAAAAACCATATCTTACACGCCCACTGTCATCTTTCAAGAGGAAGGTCTACATGATGGCAAAGCAAAAGGGTGATAAGGGCATGCTTCCCTTCTTGGAGAGCATTGGCCTCACTCTCTCTTCGGCGACCCACTTAGCTCGCTATCTTTCCTCTAATTCTCTACCTAGCCTTATCAATAAAGTTAGTAATACAACTACTGTAGAGTGCATATATGTGGAATTATTGGTTTATTTCTATGATGGAAGTGCTTTGTATTTCTTTCTTCATTAAATTTTTTTTCAAAATCTTGGTTGACAGTTGCTTGGTGCGAATTTCCATTTTAGTTCACTTGATTTTGTTTTCCTTACTATCCTGCACTGCTCTGTCCTGTTTTTCTTTTGTTTAATCGGAATAGTACATGTAATATTAATTAGCAGAAGCCTTTTTAATAATGTAAAAAGTTGATATGCTATTCATCTTTCCTAGTGTTGTGTCATTCTATGACAATCTCTTGAGCTCAGTGGGAAAATCATGGATCATGGTCATCTCTGTACATTGAACATATCACAGGAGAATGAAAACTCTTGATTTTATTTGATAGATAAGAAAGTGATATACTCGATGGAATGCTTTCAAAAATTGCTAAGATTGGCATGTAGTTATTGATGAAAATATTTAAATTGCCTTTATAAGTTCCATTCAAGCCATGGTTAAGTCAGTTAAAAAGGCTAGCGAGTGGGGATAAATTCGTCTCTTTCTTCAGATAAGATGTTTGGACCCTTTTTTAGTTCTTTCTTACCTGTCCTGATCCCTCTTCCACTTGCTCACAGGTTAAGTATGTGAAGGAAATATTCTTCGCAAACAGTGATGATGGAGGACTTATTGCTAGAAATGCCCGGCAAATGATGATGCACTTGTCCATCAGTATTGATGAGGATGTCCAGCAGACTTTGTCATTTTTTGAGAAGGTCAGTTGCCTCCTTGAATCAGGATGATTGATGAAGCTTATTTTACTGTGCCTGTCCTGACATTTGTGGTACTGATTTCTGTTCACTTTATTGAGCTGCACCTACCCTAAAGTTTGTGGCACTAAAATCTATTACATCTATATCATCCCTCATATTATCCCTTTTAATTACTATTTTTCCTAAATGGCAAAGTTTCTCATCGGCAGGTCCTTCAAGTAACTTATGGTCAACCCCTACTTTATATAATCGTAGCGTTTATATGACTGCTTCTCTACAACAAGTTCCAACTAATCTTAACATATTACTCTAACATCCAATCATTCTCTCACTCTCCACCATAGTCATTTAAGTCAACTAAAACGAGTCAGAATAATAATTCCTGCTAGAAACTGCATAATGGTATTGTATTTTTTGTAGATTCAAGCAAGGCGCGGAGGTTTGCATTTGTTAGGTTCTCAAGATGCATCTTTCCGACATCTTATTGAATCATTTCCACGACTTCTATTGCTACCTAAGGAGAGTCATATGAAGCGTCTGATGGAATTTCTTGATGATATTGGAGTGGCGGAAGGATGTAAGAGACAAATTTTCCTTTTGTTTCCGCCTATTATTTTCTATGACATTGAAAAGGATGTTAGACCAAGATTGCAGGCAATCCTTAAGGTATCAGCTTATTCATTAATATTTGATCTTATTAGTTTTCCCTTCTGTACATGTCTCCAACTCATGTGCAAGTTTGATGACTCAGTTATCACATAAATGTGATTGCAATAGTTTCGATGGACTGCTCTTAATATTACTAGTATGACAGACAAAGGTCATTTAGATCTCTCTCTCTCTCTCTCTCTCTCTGTGTGTGTGGAAGTTCTGCACCGAAGCGTGTTGGTAAAGATGTACTTGTAGATGATTTTGAAAGCATATTATCAATTTGCCTAGATATTTTGCGACAGTTTTCAGTCTGAACTGATATGGGCAAACATGAACATAACTCTGCTGAGGAGAACTGAATCATAGTCTTGGAGTTTAGTAGAAATGTTACTGTAGGACTGAAATAATTTGCATTCTCTCTCTCTCTCTCTCTCTCTCTCTCTTTCCTTTTTTTTTTTTGATAAGTAATCTACATACTTTCTAAGTCCATTTGTTTACTTGTGAATAAGTTGGACAATCTAGGAGTATTCATTTCTAGGCTGGTGTGATTGTTATCTATTCATTTCTAGGATGGTATGGAGGGCAAAGATTTTGGGCAGATGTTGCTGAAATATCCGTGGATTCTTTCAAAGAGCATTCTGCAAAACCACGAGGACATCCTGATTTTCTTTGATGATGAAAAGGTATTAATCCTAATTATACTATTTCGCACATGATGCCAAGTTTCTCATTTGAGCACTTAGTTTTTGCTATGAAATGTCTCTGGTTGATTCTAGTGGGTTTTATGTGTAAAGTCATTGCAATATTCTAGGAGTCCCTTGTATATCTGCATTTAATTGCCTAGAGCTGTGGTCTCTAATTCAGTGGCGGATCATGGTACGAGCAGTGGGTTTGATAAAACCCACAATTTCCGATCCGACCCTGTGTTTATAAGCGAAAGACCGCTATATATAGACTGCATATCAGTTTTGCGACCCACATTTTCAACCAAGTAGCAGGTTCGACCCTATTTTGGGCTGCTCCTGCTGCTGCATCACTGTATGCCTTGTATGCCAGTAAGTTAAAGCGTAATATAGTTGTCACTTTGCTATTATTGGTTTTGCGCAGGTGCCAAAAACTAGTGTAGCTCAGGCAATCAAAAGCTGCCCGCTGCTTTTGGGATTGTCAGTTAACAAGCTGAAATTGGTGGTGGAACAGTTCCGTAACTTTGGCATTAGAAATCAGAAGTTGGGTAAGGTAATTGCTACAAGTCCACAGCTACTACTGCAAAAGCCTCAGGAATTCCATCAGGTGAGAGTCAAAATTATGGTGTTTGCCTAACAAATTACTTACATAAGTACAAATGTATGCAAGATTGTACTGATTGACATGGGAGCTTCAACATGATATTTTCAAATTATTTGGCGACGTAGTTGTACAACCTCATCAGCATCTTCATTTTAGTAAATCTTCATAATACAAGATTTGTAAAGACTTCTTTTCCCTTTCAAAAATAATCTTCACAAATCTTGTATTGAATAATAGATGATTAAACAGTTTGGCCCGCATGGCTTAGTTCAAGTGGTAAAGGTTGAGGGACCTCTAACTTAGGTCACAGGTAAGCCCTGCCCTGTGCAAACTGAGCCTGGTATTTAAGTGGAGAAGGGTAAAGGGCCAGGCCCATTGTCCCCAAGTTTCGAAGGCTATGGTTGATCTTAAGGGTTAGCCCTAGACAGATTTCTCGGTGATCCAAAAAAAAGATGATAACACAATTATTTGGTTTTAAAAGCATCACATTCCTGATTGAAGGTCCATCATAAGTGATATTGATCTTGGAATTGACTTCAAATTTGTTAGGTCTGTAAGTTAGTCATTAGTTTAAACATGTGGAGATGAGAAAATTTCCCATATATGGAAAAGGCCACATCAATTTGCTCCTTTTTGTTTCTCATCAATTTTTTTGGGCTCCTTTTTTTTATTTCTGAAGTGAAAAGATATCCCTACTTATATAGATGATTAGAGGCTCTCTATACAGGGGAACTTTAGATTCTTGTGGTATTGCTTGTCTTTAAGGTATGAGGCATCCCACTTTATGTCAGCAAAATATATTTCTTTTGAAACAAAAGCAGCAACAACAACAACAAACCAGTGTAATTCCACAAGTGGACCCCGGGGAGGATAGAGTGTATGCAAACCTTACCCCTACCTTGTAAGGGTAGATATACTGTTTTCGATAGACCCTCGGCTAAAGGAAAATGAGAAAGAATTAATAGCAATAACAACAAGCTAATAGATAGTAACACGATCATAGACCAGCCGAAGCGAAAGGAACAAGAAGGAAAAACCGAAACACCAGGTAATAAAAGAGAACGAAGCATAAGAAAATACAGAGCAATATTAATACAAGTATGGAAAGAAATTAGCTCCACTACCAACTATACTTCTACCTTAATCTTCGATCTCCACACCCTCCTATTAAGGGTCATATCCTCGGTAAGCTGAAGCTGCACCATATCCTGCCTAATCACCTCCGCCCAATACCTTTTCGGTCTATCTGTCCCTCTCCTCCTATCCTTCAGGGCTGGCCTCTCATCTCCTTACTGGGCAGTTGCATCCCTCCCTTTCACATGCCCGAACCATCTTAACCTCATTTTCCGCATCTTATCCTCCACGAGAGCCATTCTCACTTATCCCGAATAACTTCATTCCTGATCTCACCTTTCCTGGTATGTCCATACATCCATCTCAGTATTCTTATTTCTGCCACTTTCATCTTCTGGACCTGGGATTTCTTGACTTCCCAACAGTCTGCTTCATACAACATAGTCGGTATAACCACCACTCTATAGTACTTACAAGTCTTGGCTGTACATTCTTGTCGTATAAAACATCGGATGCGAGCCTCTGTTTCATCCATCCCGCTCCAATTTGATGCATGACATCATCATCAATCTCCCCATTATCTTGGATTATTGACCCAAGGTACTTGAAACTCGCTCTCATCGGGATGATTTATGAATCAAGCCGCATCCGCTTCTTGAGACACGCCTGAACTTGCACTCCAAGTACTCTATTTTGGTTCTGCTCAACTTAAAACCTTTTGACTCCAAGGTGTCTCCAAACCTCCTGTCTCGCGTTAACATTACCTCGCGTCTCCTCAATCAGTACTATGTCATCAGCAAATAACATGCACCACAACACCTCCCCTTGAATGTGACACGTCAAAATGTCCATCGCCAAGGCAAATAAAAAACCTTGGTGCAACCCCATCACAACTGGGAAGTGTTCTGAGTCCTCGCTTACCATCCTAACCCTAGACTTAGCTCCATCATATATGTCTTTAATCACTCTAGTGTATGCTACCGAAACACTTTTAGTCTCCAAACACCTCCATAGGACCTCCCTCGGGACTCTATCATTTGCTTTTTTCTAGGTCAATGAACACCATATGTAGGTCCCTCTTCTCCTCTCTATATCGCTTCACCAATCTCCTAATAAGGTGAATGGCTTCCGTAGTCGATCAACTCCGGCGTTAATCCAAACTAGTTCTCGAAAAGAGACACTCCTCCTCACCTTTGTTTTCACCATATTTCCCCAAACTTTCATGGTATGGCTTAGCAGCTTAATACCCCTCTAGTTGTTGTAGTCAGTGTTTTAAAAAGCATTTTCGGGGCGAGCTCCAGAGCAAACCCTGGGGCGAGGCGCACCAAAAATGCCCCGAGGCGATGGTGTGGGGTGAAAGTCTCAAGAGGCATACGCCCAGCAATTCGGGACGTACGCCCGGGCATTCTGGGCGTTTTGTAGTGAGGCGTAAGCCCCAGAAATTTTTTCAAATTAAAACAAAATTTGTTGAATAAGTCCTTTCATATAATACCCAAATTCTCAAAAGTCAGCTTGTAATTACTCAAAAGTTTTAAAAAGGAACTGAAATATTAAATTTAAAAGTCAAGACCTTTTTTATTGATAGAAGCTCTAATTTATGTTATTATTCCCAATTCTTTATCTTGTCCGCTAGTCTGTTACTATCTCTTAAAAGCAATAAATAGTCAATTTTTTTTTGGCAAATACAAAGAGAACTTCATTCTCGTTCATAGCACCAAGTTCAAAGTTCAAATTGCAGGTTAGTAATTTTTTTTATTCCTTCACGTAAAATACTTTATTCTTTTCAATTCAAGTCACTTGTGCTTGTAAGTAGCATATAATGGATTGTTTTGACTAGCTTTTTGTGGGGATGGAGAACATCTATATATATTGTTCACATATTTATAGTTTTCTTCAATTTTTATGCAATTTTACCTATTTATAAATACTTACTGTAATTATATTATTTTATAAAATATTAAAAATTAAATACCCATGGGGCTTACGCCCCGTGTCTCAAGGCTTACGTCTCACTGAGGCATATGTAAAACGCTTTGCATTACGCCCACGCCTTTTAAAACAGTTGCAGTTTTGAATGTCACCTTTGTTCTTGTACAACAGAATCATCGTACTCCACCTACACTCCTCGGGCATTTTCTTTGTCTTAAAAATGACATTAGACAACCCAGTGAGCCACTCCAAGCCTTCCCTACTCGCCTAGCACAATGTCCCTATCCCCTCCTTCGTTCAAGAGTTTATGAAATAAGTCTTGCCATCTTCTTCTAATAAGTGCCTCAGTCACCAATACATTGTTGTCCTCATCTTTGATGCACTTCACTTGGTCCAAGTTGTTGGTCTTCCTTTCTCTCACCTTGACAAACCTTTACAGCTTTATATCCCTGCCTTTGATCCCCAGTTCTTCATACAAACGGTCAAAGCTACAGTCTTTGCCGTTGTAACCGCTAACTTCGCCCCCTTCTTTGCCTTCTTATACCCCTCCCTATTAGTCCTCTTCTCCTCCTCGTCGTTGCTCTCCATCAGTTTCACATACGCTACTTTCTTGGCTTTCACCTTACCTTGGACCTCTCCATTTTACCACCAGTCCCCTTCATGACCTCCCGAGTAGCCTTTTGAGACCCCTAACACCTCTTTAGCAGCTTCTTGAATGCAGCTTGCCGTTGTAGACCACATACCTCTCGTATCCCCATGACTCCTCCAGGCCCCTATTGCCAGCAACCTCTCCTTAACTCCTGAGCTTTGACCTTAGTCAAGGCTCCCCAATTGATCTTAGGTTGACCATACGCCGCTCTCTTCTTCCTCTTGCCTTTGATCTCTAAGTCCATAACCAAGAGCCTATATTATTCTCGCTCGGGATAACCTTGCAATCTGTGCATAAACCTCTATCACACTTCCTGAAGAGTAGGTAATTAATTTGGGTTTTGGCCACCATACTCTAGGACCAAGTGTTCCTCCTTCTGAAAATTCGAGTTTGCTATCACCAATTCAAATGCTTTAGTGAAATCCAACATCGAAGTTCCTCCTTCGTTTCTATCCCCGAAATCGAAGCCGCCATGCACGTCGTCATATCCCTTAGCTGCCATCTCGATGTGGCAATTGAAATCTCCTCCTATGAACAACTTTCAATGTGTGGAATACCACACACAACCTCGTCAAGGTCCTCCCAAAAGTGACTCTTGGTCTCCTTGTCCAAGCCCGCTTGAGGTACGTAGGTCGTAGGCACTAACAACGTTAACAGTAAGCCCTCTAACAACTAGCTTAATAGTCATCATTACGTCGTTCACCCTCCTAACCTCTACCACTTGCACTCTGAGATCTTTATCAACCAAAATACCTACCACGTTCTTGCCCTTCACGCTTCCTGAATACCATAGTCTCCTGAACACAAGGTAAATAGGACAACAGAAGCAAATGACACAGTATGTAATAACAAAGATCTAGGAATACGAAAAGATAAGAATTGTGCCAATACTACCTGAAAGAATGACACACCGTGTGATAACAAGAAACTTGGAATAGGAAAATATAGGACTAGTACTAATACTGCTGGTGACACTAGGAGAAACTCTCGACTACATGTCACCCGCAACCCTAATTCTCGATCTCCACACCTTCCCATCAAGGGTCATGTCCTCGGTAAGCTAAAGTAGTGTCATATCCTGCCTCTTTCCCCAGCTCTTCTTTGGCCTCCCTCTACACCTCTTAACCTCTCATACCTCCTAGTAGTGGCATAAGTGTCTTTCCTCTTCACATGCTCGAGCTATCTCAGCCCCGATTGCCGCAATTTGTCTTCCACAAGAGCCGCACCCATCTTGTCCCTAATAACTTCATTCCTAATCTTATCTTTCCTGGTATGCCCACACATTCATCTCAACATCCTCATTTCTGCTACTTTCATCTTTTGAACATGAGACTTCTTGACTGACTAACAGTCGGCTCCATATAGCATAGTCGGTCTAACTATCACATTGTAGAACTTGCGCTTGAGTCTTGGTGGTACATTCCTATCACACAAAACACCATATGCGAGCCTCCATTTCATCCATCCCGCCCTGATACGATGAGTAACATCCTCGTCAATCTCCCCATTACCTTGTATTACAGTCCCAAGATATTAAATATCTCTCTTGGGGATGATTTGTGTATCAAGCTTCACGTCCGCTAATGTTTCTTGCTCCATAACACGGATCTTGCACTCCAAGTATTCTGTTTTCATCCGACTCAACTTGAAACTTTTAGAATCCTGGGTCTATCTCCACACCAATGTTGTGAAAAGCACTCGCTTCAGCGCTTAAAGCGCGAACCGAAGCGAGGCGTGCACATGGTCGCTTCTGTGTTGTGAAGCGTAGCAGGTGATATGAAGCGCGCGCTTCTGCCGAAAAAGCGAGAAGCGTGACTGAAGCAAGAAGCGACAGTAGCGAGCGCTTCACTATATTAAGTGACTGCCAACGTTAATTAAATAAAAAAACTGTCTTTTATTTAAATGTCATTTAGCAGCAGAGAAAAACAGCGACGAGGGTTCCTATTTTCAGCACTTTTCAAGTTCAAGTTCATTAAGTTCAAGCCCGGGTATGTGATTTCTTCTTCCTCCTTCTCCTCCTCCTCCTTTTTTATTTTCTTTCAAATGTTTCAGTCTCAAAGTAGCAGCGAAATGCTACCAATTTTTTTTTCCTTCAGTTCTTCTTCTTCTTTCTCTGTTTCAGTCTTAAAATGCAGTGAAATGCTGCCCCATTTTTTTCTTACTGCCTTCTTTTTCGTTTCAGTTCTTCTTAGTTCTTACTGCCTTTTTTTGTTTCAATATTTATTTTAATATCTTAAAAAAAATTCCGCTTCACTTCAAAAAAAAAGCGAGCACTTTGCTTCTCACTTCACGCTTTAAGTGAAAAGGGGCTTGTTGCTTTTCCTCGCTTCACGCTCTTTACAATACTGCTCCACACCTCCTGCCTAGAATTAACCCTGCAACACGTGTCGTCAATCAACACTATGTTATCAGCAAATAACATATACCATGGCACCTCCCCTTGGATGTGTCGCGTCAGCACATCCATCGCAAGAGCAAATAAAAATGGGCTAAGAGCTGATCCTTGGTGCAATCCCATCATCACTAGAAAATAATCCGAGTCTCCTCCTATAGTCCTCACCCTAGTCTTAGCTTCGTCATACATATCACTCTAATCTATGCTACCTGAACTCCGCTAACCTCCAAACATCTCCATAGAACCTCCCTTGAGACTTTGTCGTAGGCTTTTTTTAGGTCAATTAACACCATATGCAAGTAGAAATAAACTAAAATAGGCAGAGAGTAGAAATAAACTAAATAGACTAAAACACAAGGATAGTCTAATACTCAAAGGCACTAATACAAGTACACTAAATAGACTAAAACACAGGTATTGTCTAATACTCAAACGCACTAATACAAGTACACGTAAAAAAGTGTTGCGCTAAAACTAGAGGTCAAACAGGTAAATCAGCCAGACAAAAGCAAAGGCAAGGTACAGATAAGGGATTGCCTATGCTATAACTACAACTAATATAAAGGTGACAGCAGAGGTATGCAAATCGGGTAGACTACATGAATCGATAATAATGATCAGGCAAGCAAGTATGCACAAACGAAACAACAAATACTAAAGCCGGAAGGATAAAACCTGGTGGAGACGGAGGTGCCAAGACGCTGCAGCCACACCTTGAGGAGGAAGTGAAAATGACCCGACTGGCCAGAGGGACTGTTCCGCGTCAAAACTGACTGAAAGAGGGGTTGTTCAGGTCGCTCTGAAGCTACAACCATCAGAGGGAAACCCACACACTGGAAAACTGTATGAACAACACGTGCCGGAGCGTGACTGGATCTCCGCCGGGAAATTGTCAAGTTCGCCGGGACTCCTCTGCTGTTAACTCACACACACATATGCAGAGAGCGAGGGAGAGAGAGAAATAGAGAAGAGAGGGGAGCAGAGGTACCGGCAGCGACGCAGTCGGAGCTACTTTGCCGGACCCCGACCAGCAAGGGGGGAAGAACAGAACGGGAAAGAGAGAAATGGAGGAGAGAGAGAAAGAAAAGAAAGAGAAAGGTAGAAAGAAGAGGAAAGAATGAGAAGGAGGGGATTTTACCGGTGCTCGCCGTTGCCAACGGTGAGGTGCAGCGGTGAAGAAGAGTTGAAGAGTCGAAGGAGAAGGAGCGCCCGTTAGCAATAGAGAGAGAGAGAGAGAGAGAGAGAGAGAGAGAGAGAGAGAGAGAGAGAGAGAGACAACTAATTACACGAGACGAAAGCATTTCAATAAAATATGTTTACCTATTTTATTGATGATTGAAGGGTCTTTATACGGGGGATCTTGAGATTACAGGGGTATTTGTCTTTGTGGTATCCCCACTTTATGTCACTAAAATATTTCTTTTGAAGCAAAAGTGTTTCCGTAAAATATGTTTATTTCTAAGAAGAAGAAAAGGATATAGTAATCTTTCCATACCCAAGGACCATTGCAGCTTCATTACAGCAGCACCATCACTGTGGAAGATGAACTTAGGTAACCTTCTAGTAGTAACTGATTAGTCGAGCTCACACCTTAATTGGAGGCAACTTGAGAATATGACTACCCAACCTTTATCAGATTTTTTGATAAAATAACTAATTCTACTAATGAGGAAAGTTCTCGCATAAAAGATGGGATACAAAAGGTAGAGGTGAGAACATGACTCTTTATGAAGACCGCCCAATTCTCTCTACTAATCTCATACAAAAGCTTGATTTCCACATACAAGATTTGGGATAAAACTAATATCTCTTGAAGGTTAAGCATTTACTGATATCCAGGTAAACCAGGTGTTGCATGTTTTAATCTTGATATGTGGTGATTCTTTGCTTGGGTTTTTACCAATTGGTTGAAAGTTTATCTATATGACATGGCTGTAAATGAATCTTTACTGAATCCTTTGTCCTGGCTATACGCATTGCTTGTTCTAGTTTGATATTTCAAATAAGTGAGTATTTCAGATATGCATTCTCTCCCTCTACATCTTGATTTTGGCATGCTTTCAGCTTCATGGAGAAAGTGAGTGAAATCGCTTGTTAATAGTTTGATAAACCTGTCAAAGTAAAAGTTTATGATGGTGCTTGAGCATCTTCTTTTGCTGATTACCGAAGAATTTACTTTGTTTTGAGTGAATGCAAGTAGTATAATTATCTCAACACCTATAATTTTCTGTTTATCGTGGGAATAATAATTCTTTATCTCCAGGTAGTGTGCTTCTTAAGGGATCTAGGTCTGGATGATGATATTATTGGTAGGATACTTGGTCGTTGTCCTGAAATTTTTGCATCGAGCATAGGGAAAACTCTTAAAAGAAAACTCAACTTCCTAATGGGTATTGGAGTTTCCAGACGTCATCTTCCCAGGATTATCAGGAAATATCCTGAGCTTTTTGTATGTGACATTGACAGAGCTTTACTTCCAAGGTAAAAGATCATATTCTCTGGTATATAATTAGGTTGTTCAAGATGCAGGTATTTGTGAAAACATAAGTAACACTTGACTGTCTGAAAATAGCCGATTTATGTCAGTTTCCAAGACTTAAAATATAATCTTTGAGAACTATTTCGTCCTCCATATGAATACTTAAATGCATTTCAAAAGGTAAGTTATAGTAACTTTTGTAGTTCATGAATATTTAAATTCTTTTATACTTCATATTGCTGATCCCGACTTGTTTGGGAATTGGGATGTAGTTGATTGATTGATTGATCCATATGAATTTTTAAATTCATTTTAGATAGAGAACTTATTCCAAGTCCAAATTAAATCTGGCACTGGGTCAAATTTACCCTCAGCGAGCAGAATAGTACTATCAATTTGGAACAATTGAAGTAGATAACAGCATCTTGCGATGCTGCAATTTCAATCTAGTTTTACATTTTGCAATCCGTATAAAAAGACAAACAGTTATTAGATAACATAGATAATATAGGCTTTTACAGCTTTTCCTGGTTTGCTAAACACAAACAAAATTCCCAGAGCAAGAATAGTACCTTGTGTTGTGACAATGCTTTTCTGATTTTCATTTTGAGCAGAGTGACGTACTTGATGCATGTTGGGCTTTCGAAGAGGGAAGTAGCACTAATGGTCTGCAGGTTTTCACCATTGCTCGGCTACAGCATAGACAAAGTTCTCAAGCCTAAGCTAGAATTTCTGATGAAATCAATGGAAAAACCAATAAGTGATGTAGTTGAATACCCGAGATATTTCAGCTACTCGTTAGAGAAGAAGATAAAACCTAGATTTTGGGTGCTCAGGGGCAGAAACATGGAATGCAGCTTGAAAAGTATGTTGGGGAAAAATGATGAAGAATTTGCTGCAGAGTTTGGAGAGAGGAATATGCTTGTTCCCCCTATTTAGCTCTGATTGGTACTTTTCTAGTGTTGTTTTAATAGTTAAGTACATGCACGAATGGGTAGATAGCTGGTGGTGCATGTGCACGAGTTACTCAGTTGATTTTTCTTGTGAATAATATCATATCACATCAGTTCAATCTCACTAGGCCTGCAGCTGGTGTTTGGGGTTCGTGTTGTAGAAGAAATCCTTTTTTGGTAATGTTGTCCCTTATGGTTTTTACAAAACAATTTTTACAAACTGGTTCATGATATTGAGGCAGCTGGTGTTTGGGGGATCACAGAAGCGAAAATCACTAGGCAGAAATATGAAATTTCGAGGGTTTGAAGCTCATATCACCAAATTTGATTTTTAGCTCGGGAGAAGGCGATTTTGGGAGGATTTTGAAGAGGAAATCAGTGGATAACGATTCCTTATCCCTTTCTAGTTGTATTCCATCAATCTAATCTTAGTTTTGTCATTTAGTTTCGAATTTGGGGTGAAAAATTGGAAGAATTGAGGAAAAGTTCCCCAACCAAGTTTTTGGGTTTTGATTGGTTTAGTTGTCGGAATTGAGTGATTTTTGGACAAGTGTTCTCGTTAGTGAATGGGTGTTCTAAATTGGTAATTTTTACCCGATTCCGAGACGTGGGCCCGGAAAGGATTTTTGGGCGTTTTTCTATTTTCTTATCTTAGCTTCGATTACTTTAGCTAAATTCATTGTTTGTAGTTATATTTACATTATGAAATTTATTTGATTAGATTTAGGCCACTCGGAGTTGGATACTCGTGGCAAGAGCGTGATTTCAAGTTGATTTTGAGCTGGTTCGAGGTAAGTGGCTTGCCTAACCTTGTGTGGGAACTCCCCTTAGGATTTTGGTACTAATGTTATATGAGTGTCGTGTACGTTAGATGACGAGTGCGTACACGTGCTAATTGGTGAAAAAACTCATTTTCCTTAAGTAAATATCTATGTTTTCTTGTAATTGAGCACTACTTGTACTTGAAGCCTCTTGTTTAGTTTAGGAAAAGCATACTTATGTGATTTAATTGTCGTACTCGCTTTAACTGCTTACTTATATTCTGTGCAGCATGTTTAGAGTAAGATTCCTGTTTATTCTCGAATAGAACTGTAGATTCTTTCTTGAGACTGTTGTGTGTTTACTTTGGGACTACGAGACGATTTCTCGGGAGATCCCCCTACATGTTTACTTTGGGACTACGGATCGGTATTCCGGGAGATCCCACTGCACGTTTACATTTGGGACTACGGGAAACACCCGAGAGATTCCCCTGTACTGGATATTTGCTTGGGGACTACCGATTGGTATTCCGGGAGTTTTCTCTGCATATTTATGATTCGGACTACGGGACGATATTTGGGGAGATCCTCTGTACATTTACGTTTGGGACTACGGGATGCTATCCTGGGAGATCCCCTATTGCTATCTCTGTGTACTGAGTATATTCTGTCTGTGATTTTACTCTTTATCGNGGTACCGATGTGGTGTACTCATGTCCTTTCCTGCACATATTTTTCGTGTGTAGATCCAGGTTCTTCGGCTCAGCCATACTATCAGTGAGGCGAGGCGATTTTCAGAGATTTTGAGGTATATATGCCGTGTCCGTAGACCGAGGAATCCCTCTCTATTCTCTCTTTTAGCTATAGACCTTCTGTAATTACTTTGTTTAGACTTCTGGAGTTAGAACATTATGTATTTCCTCTAGTTTGTGATTCATGAGATTCCGGATTTTGGGAGTGTTAATATTGGTCGAGCTATTATTGTATATGCCGCTCGGTATTTTAAACTTTTCTATTATATTACATATAAATTTCTAGTTTCGTATCTATATTTCTTTTATCCGCAAATGGTTAGGCTTATCTAGTCGTAGAGACTAAGTGCCATCACGATAATTCACGGAGGGAGAACTTGGGTCGTGACATTTTCTCATTTAAAAGTACTCTTTTTTCTCACTTTATAACACCTAACTACGCTTAGAGAAAATAATATTTTCTCAATAGGACGTTATTTACTTTCTCCATAGAAAAATATTTAATTGTATTTTGATATTTTTTCAAATTTTATAAAACAAAACTAATTTTTCATGAATCACCAAAACATTACTTTTCCAGTCAAATCACTTTAATTTGAAATGAGTGAATAGCTAATTTTCAACTCTACATGTTAAGATTATTACAATGATATACAATAAATTGTATGATTTATACAGTATAGGTCTTTAGTGAAAAAGTTAAGGTTCTAATTGTAGAAGTTGGCAGAAAAAGTTTGGAGGACTATACTATAGTTAATTCCTACGGGAGAAGATATGGGACCTCACCTACGGTCCCGCACCTGCACCTTGGGCTCCGCATCTGCGGAAACTCATTAACTCTCCAGGAACCGCACCTGCACTCCCTTCACCGCAGATGCGGTCCGCATCTGCGGTCACTAGCTATTAGTGCCCAAACCGCACCTGCGACCTCCTTCATCGCTTATGCGGGCTGCACCTGCGGGATCTTCACCACAGGTGCGAAAATACCAGAAGCAGCAACTTCAGAAAATAGCCTAAGTCCAATTCAACTTCCGTTAAGCATCCGAAACTCACCCGAGGCCCCCGGGACTTCATCCAAACATGCCAACCAATCCTAAAATATTATACGAACTTAGTCCAACCCTCAAATCACATCAAACAACGCTAAAACCATGAATCCCCTCCAATCCAAGCCTAAATAACTTGAAATTTCAAGAATCCTACAACCGATGCCGAAACCAACCAAACCAAGTCCGATTGACCCCAAATTTTGCACACAAGTCACATTCAACACTAGGAAGCTATTCCAACTTTCAGAATCGGATTCCGACCTCGATATCAAAATTTCACTATCGATCCGGAAACTTTAAAAATTTAACTTTCGGCATTTCAAGCCTAAATAAGCTACGGACCTCCAAAATATAATCCGAACACGCCCCTAAGCCCAAAATCACCCAACGGATCTAACGAAATTTATGGAATTTGCATTCCGAGGTCGTCTTCACACTACTCCAACTACGGTCCAAATTCTAAAGCTTAAGCTCTCATTGAGGGACTAAGTGTCCCAAAACACTCCGAAACTCAAAACGAATCTTCCCGACAACTCACAATAGCAACAACAAAAATGGGAAAAGCAGTTAATAGGGGATGAATGCGTTAATTCTTAAAACGACTGGTCATGTCGTTACATCCTCCCCCTCTTAAAACATTCGTTCGTCCTCGAACGAGCATAGAGATATACCTGAAGTAGTGAAAAGATGAGGGTAACGACTGCGCATATCCTGCTCGGTCTCCTAGGTCGCCTCCTCGACCGACTGACCCCGCCACTGAACCTTTACTGATGCAATGTTCTTTGACCTCAACTTTCAATTGAAATCCAACACGTGCGACGGATCACCATGATACTTCTGGAGCATCGAAACATGAAATACCGAATGAACCCCTACCAAGATGGGAGGTAAGGCAAGCTCATAGGCAACCTCGCCAACACGTCTCAATACATCAAAAGGACCAATAAACCTCGGACTCAATTTCCCCTTCTTCCCAAATCTCATAACGTCCTTCATAAACCTGAAGCAAGACCCGCTCTCCAACCATATAGAAAACATCACAAACCTTCCGGTCCACATAACTTTTCTGTCTTGAGTCTATCGTGAATCACCTTAACCTTCTTCAAGGCGTCCTGAACCAAGTGTGTGCCCAATAATCTAGCCTCACCTAGCCCAAACCAACCTACAAGGGATCTACACCGCTTACCATATAAAGCCTCATACAGTGCCATCTGAATGCTGGACTGATAACTGTTGTTGTAGGCAAACTTCGCCAGTGGCAAGAACTGATCCCAAGAACCTCCAAACTCCATCACACACGCACAGAGCATATCCTCAAGAATCTGAATAATGAACTTGGATTGTCGGTCCGTCTACAGGTGAAATATTGTGCTCAACTCCACCCGAGTACCTAACTCATGCTGTATGGCCCTCCAAATCCACGATATGAACGGAGTACCTCTGTCTAAAATGATGGAAACTGGAATACTATGTAGACGAACAATCTCCCGGATATAAATTTCCGGCAACCGCTCCGAAGAATAGGTAGTACACACAGGAATGAAGTCTGCAGACTTGCTCAGCCGATCCACAATCACCCGAATAGCATCAAACTTCCTCAAAGTCGGTGGGAGTCCAACTACGAAGTCCATGGTAATCCGCTCTCACTTCCACTCTGGAATTTCTATCTGCTGAAGCAAACCACTCGGCCTCTGGTGCTCATACTTTACCTACTGACAATTAAGGCACTGAGCTACAAACCCAACTATATCTTTCTTCATTTGCCTCCACTAATAGTGCTGTCTCAAATCCCGGTACATCTTCGCGGCACCCGGGTGGATGGAATACCACGAACTGTGGGCCTCTTCTAGAATCAACTCCCGAAGCCTATCAACATTGGGTACACATATCCAACCATGCATCATCAATACCCCATCATCACCAATGGTCACATCTCTAGCATCACCATGCAGAACCTTGTCCTTGAGGACAAGCAAATGAGGGTCATCAAACTGACACTCCTTGATACGATCCAACAAGGAAGACCGAGAAATCACACAAGCTAGAACCTGACTGGGCTCCGAAAGGTCCAATCTCACAAACTGGCTAGCTAAGGCCTGAACATCCATCTCCATGGGCCTCTCCATTGTTGGTAGATAAGCCAAACTCCCCAAACTCTTTGCCCGTCGACTCAAAGCATCAGCCACTACATTGGCCTTTCCCGGATTATACAAGATAGTGATATCATAGTCCTTCAGCAGCTCTAACCACCTCCTCTGGCGCAAATTAAGGTCCTTCTGCTTGAACAGATGTTGCAAACTCCGGTGATCAGTATAAATCTCACAAGGAACACCGTACAAGTAATGAGGCCAGATCTTCAAGGCGTGAACAATAGCAGCTAACTCGAGATCATGGACAGGATAATTCTTCTCATGTACCTTCAACTGTCTGGACGCGTAGGCAATCACCCTACCATCCTGCATCAATACTGCTATAAGGCCAATCCTCGAGGCGTCATAATAGACTGTATAAGACCCCGAACCTATAGGTAATATCAAAACTGGGGTTGTAGTCAAAGCTGTCTTGAGCTTCTGGAAGCTCTCCTCACACTTTTCTGTCCACTGGAACGGATCACCCTTT